TAGAGTTTTTAAATTATAAAATATAGGCTTCAAATAAATAAAATAACCTTATCTACCTAAATAAACTTTCCTACGTATCTTAAAAGATAAGCTAATTAACTATCACATATCTGTCTGATCAAATGTTGTAAATTCATTTGAAAAGAATAAAATATTGATGGGAAATCACAAATATTAATAACTAATAATGATTATAATGGAAATATAAATTTATAGAGAGTATCTATAATAAATATTAAAAGTGATATCGATTAAAAAAAAAAAGTCATTATATATATGTATGTAAATACCGGTCAATAGGTACCATTTTTCTAAAGGTGGTTTTACATCCAAAGTAATATATATATATATATATATATATATTATATATATATATATATATATATATATATATATATATATATATGCAAATACCGCAGGGAGTTGAGTGACCCCTGTGGCAGAAATAGCTCCTGGTCCTCCAGGTTGGGAGTTGGCTATAGGGCTAATAACCCTAAAAAAAATATTCTATCGTCCATATCGGATCATAGAATCTTCGGAGCTTATACAGACCAGGAGCCGCCCAAACGGTAGTTAATGAAGTAAGAAGCTACAACCAACCGTTAACAGCCATTCAAGAGGTAAGTTGACCAGATGGTTATGAAACCTCTATTGATGGCCATACACTGTTTTACACCGGGAGAAACAATAAAAATAGGACAGCTGGCAAGGGATTTTTAATTAGTCCGTCCGCAAGGAAGTCAGTGATAAACTTCAATTCAGTTAATGAAAGGATAAATGTGCAACGCAAAAGAGGTGGTTGGTTTAATATCACGATTATTAACTTGAATGCATCAGCCGAAGAAAAAGAGGATGAGATGTAGGACGATTTCCACGACCATTTAGAAAAAGTTGTGGACCACGCTCCAAAATATGACATAAAATTATTCATGGAAGACTTCAATGCCCAGATAGGACCAGAAGCCCAATTTAAGCCCGTCGACGGAGGCCAAAATGTCTTAAAATTTGCAGTGATAATGGAGTAAAATGTATCAGTCTGGCAGCAGCTAAAGGTCTAGCAGTACGGTGTTCCCGCACAAGGTCATAAATAAGTACACCTAGGTAAGTCCTAAAGGAACAAAAAGCCAAATCGACCACGTGCTGATAGGTAAGAGGTATCAAAGCTCCATACTAGACATAAAGAGCTATCGTGGAGCAGACTGTGATTCGGACCATACTCTGATTAAAATCAAACTATGTCAGAGACTGAAACGAATTCGCAAAATTAGGGGCCATGTGAAATAAATAAGTACGAAGTTCGTACTTTGAAAAACCCTATTGCACTCTCGGATCTAGGATTTAATTTTGGGGAGGGGGCTTCAGCCCGAAAGCTTTTTTTTCAAAAAATTACGATAATTATTTTGGTAAAAAGATAGAAACTAACTACCTATATGAAATGGTGTTTAAGTGATACCTAAATTCCTTTTAAATGTAATTACACGAACAATAATACTTTAAGAGATAATTTTTTGAATAAAAAAATGGTTATATTTTATTATTTTTTGGGGGAGGGGGCTTCAGCCCCAAAGCCCCCTCCCCGTAAATCTGTCCGTGCCCTATAATACAGGCTGATTTCAAAATTGAGCTGAAAAATAAATTCGAACTCTTGAACGCGGAAGGCCACACGGTTGACCAACATTGTGAGGCAGTAGATTCAGTGCTAAAACAAACAGCTAAGGAAGAATTAGGGATTCTGGAAAGAGGAAAAGACAAGAAATGGTTCACAGAAGCATGCGAAAAGGTGTTGGAGTAAAGAAAAAAAAGTCCTCTATGTCTTATGCTGGACAAATACACATCCACCAGGAAAAAGAAACAAAATAATAAGAACAGCAAAAAGAGAATTCCTCAAAGAAAGATTACGAAATATTGAGAAAAACTGGCATGCTGGAAATATATGCGAATTCTTCGCAGATATCAGAAAAGAAAGGGCAGGATGTAAAGCGAGAGAAATACTCAAATGCGAGGGAAAGATAGCAAATTGACGGCATCAAAAGAAAAGTTCCTAAGAATCTGGAAGGAACACTTCCAGCAGTTGCTCAATTAAGGGCGTCCCACATGACCACACTGAAGACATGGACCACACTGAGGATATCGACAAACTTCATGTTGAAAAAACAGATATTCTGGAAATATCCATCGGCAGGCTTAAAAGAAGAAAAGCTCCAGGAATAGACAATCTACCATCAGAATTATTCATGGACGGGGAAGAACACCTCAAAGCCAAGGTTTTAAGAAAATATGGGAGGAAGAATGGATACCATGGGAGGCAGCCTGGAACACACGGCTGATCTATCCTATCCTTAAGAAAGTATAATAATGACTAATATTCTGCTAAATTGAATAATAAGCGATCACCAATCAAGATTCAGGAGAGAGAGGAGTACGCTAGACCAGATATTCATCCTAAAACAAGTAATCGAAAAACGATGATGAGTAGATTAGGACGTACACGCCTTATTCGTCGATTTCAAAGCAGCCTATTACTCCGTGATCAGAAACTGTCTCTGGAAGTTCATGACTGAAATGATGACGTGTACAATTGATCCTAAACGCAGGGTATTGATACAAGGAGAAGTATCTAAAGGCTTTGAAATACGAACGGGTTTGAGGCAGTAATAAGAACAACACCAGAGTAGTACGCAAGATACCACGTGGGAGGCCAAAATACAAATAGATAGCATAAACAAAGATACTGCTGAGCTTCATGTCGCATATTGGAAAGCAGTAGCCCAAAATAGGCAGAGATGGAGAAAGTTGGATAAGGTGATCATAGATCTACAAAGTTTCTTTTCCTTCTGATCTTTCAGATCAGGAAGATTGACAGCAGATCAAATCTTCACTCTCCATCTGCTTCATGAGAAAACCATAAATTAGCACTCATCATGAATTTGTGGACTTGCAGCAAGCATCTGATACTGTAAACAAGAATGAAGTCTACAAAGCTATGATCGATATGTAGATAAATCCAGAACTGGTAAGACACACATATGATAACTGAGGATAACCTGTTCTGCGTGCGAATGTTTGGGGATCTCTCAAGAAGCTTTAACACAGGGACGGGAGTCCGCCAGGGCGATGGTTTGGCCTGTCTTGTGTTTAATTTGGCTCTTGAGACAGTCTTGAGAAACTCTGATATTCAGACCACAGGGACTTGTTTAGGTGCCTGGATATGAGAATTGTTCCGACCTTAGTTAACGGACACTAGCGGATGAAGGATTTATTTTTGGGGGGAGCTTCAGCCCGAAGTTTTTTTTTTTCATAAAAATAACGATAATTACTTTGGAAAAAAAGAAAGAAACTAACTACCTGTATGAAATGGTGTTTAAGTGATTCCTAATGCCCTTTTAAATGTAATTACACGAACAATAATACTTCAAGAAATACTTTTTTAATATTTTTTTCGATAAAACATGATTATATTTTACTATTTTGGGGAGGCTTCAGCCCGAAAGCCCCACCCTCCGTAGATCCGCCCGTGTTAACGGACAATGGAGGTAGTCAGGGAGGATTTTGAAGCTCTGGAAGTAGCAGTAGTATAGGGCTCTTATGAAACACGGATAAAACCAGAGATAGGCAAATGCTACTATGAGTACAGGGTACCGGGTATTTTTCTCTAATACTGACCTTTTTTTTGTTCCAAAGAATTAAATTACTTCTTCAACTGATGTCAAACGATTAATTGAAGTAGTGATTGAATTTTCAGTTGTGATAAAATTTGAGTAATACACTTGGACCTCAGTACTCAGAGTGGCATTTCCCCATTTCTGGATAAAACAAAGTACATGTGTGCAAACCCAAAGCATGGTATCCGGGAAGGTTTTGTTCACAAAAAATAGAAGTAGTACGAGGATTTGTCTGCTTAAGCTTCCAAATGAACTCATAGAATGACATTAGGGAAAAGATAGACAGACGTACTATGGCTACTAACCGGTGTTCCTTCGCACTTCTAATTGGCAAACATTTTTATAAATGTGTCAGAAACACAAGATTTTCTCGGATTCGTTTCGCAATGTCCCACACACATGACATACTTATAAAGTAATGTCTTTTGATGTTAAAATCTTTTCTGCTGAACATAGTAATAACTAATAATTTAAATTAACAGTCAACGAAATAAAGTTTTGCATTTGTAACGAATTTGAGGTGGAGGCAAATAATTATTGCAAGAAAACGAAGCAGCACATAATTAATTACGTAAATATACGAATCACATTCTTTTGTTCACGTAATCAATAAGAATTGTATGCATGTTGTCCGTTTATTAAAAGTTTTTCTGGAAGAAGAAATGAATCAGTGACCGCCACCCGCTTGCCTAGAGTTCGATAATTGCAAATTTCAAATATATTAAAACAAAAAAAAAATTTGTCAGAAAAAATAAAAAAAATATTTATGAAACGCGTATGGGTCAATTTCACTCTATATAGAAATTTAATTGGATCTATAGAATATTTTTTTCTAATAAAAATGCAAGGTTGATAAAAAAAAAAGTTTAGTATATAGGGATTTTCTATTTATAAAAGCTCGATGTGTAGAGATTTGACTGCATATGTATGCATACAGTCCAACCGCTGTTTATATGCATTATAGATATAGTGACAGCAATAAGTTATTCAAACTTATGAAAATTCTACATGGGAGCTCGAGGTTTATCTCAAAAATTGTCAATAACCAAAACACAGCGACAGCTAAAACACGAAATGTTAAATCATATAAATATTAAAAAGGTCAATTAAAATTTTCATCATATTTCACCTTATTTATGTAAAGTTAATGATAATAAAGATTAGCCTTGATTAAGTTTCATTATTGAACTTATTACTGTGTAAATACCGACAGCTAAAATATATAAAAAATAATATATATGTATATATATATATATATATATATATATATATATATATATATATATATATACACAAATAATCGATATATTTAAAATTTTTTTATCAGACAAAGTTTACCTTTGTAAGATGATTAATTCCCTATATCGATCCACTCTTAGACCTGGTATTCCTATACTGTTCACGTCAACACTTTAAAAGTACTTTCAAAACTTTTTTGCATTTATCTAGTTCGTTATCTCTTTGCGTTATCAATCATATTGACTAACTTTTTCGCTTACTAAGTAATGAAATATTTTTTGACATCATTTTCAAACATTTTGGTTCATTGAACTTATTTTTATTGTGCGCATTCGAACTATTAGTGTTTGCTGGAAATACTTCTATAAAATATTTATCACAGTATTCAACGACGATTAATTTGAACTATTTTTCACTCATAAATGTTGTTTTTTTTTAAATTGTATACATAAAATCTGATGGAGTTATTTCGATATGGTTAAATGGTGAAGGTTAAAATTAATTTTTAATGTCTACAAGTTAATATATGTATTATTACATATCGTTTAGTATGCCTTATTCATGTCATCCTTTTTTATTAGTAATTATAAGTTAAATAAATATCTACTAAATATTTTAATTTATGTTGTAATATACCAACGGCTCTATAAAACTGTTTGAATGTAATTTTTTATTTCACTTACTTAATTTTTATTTCACTTAATTAATAAGCAAATATTATATTAATGAAAATAGTAACATATGGTTTAAAAATGCAATTATTTGAAAAAATAATATAATATTGAATAGATATGCAATCATAAAATACTATACACGTTTTTTAAAGAAAAAAAAAACATAATAATATAATGAAAAGTATAAAATAAAATAATCAATGTATTCAATTATTGGAGTAAACCACTGAACTGCTTCCTAAACCATTGAAAAAAACTTTTAGAGAGAAAAATAGGTTCAATATTAGCTATTCCGAGAAAATGACAAATCGATTTTCTTTTACGATCTAAAATTAAATATTAGTAATAATCCTGAAGAACCACTTGCAATATTTTCTAGGTAAATGATTACATAATGTGTTATTAATATGGCATCCAATTATTAAAATATTGTTTTATACATAATAAGTAACTTGTGTTGCAAAAAAATTATTAAAAAATAACTAAGAATGTATATATATATATATATATATAATACATAGATTCAGGCGGAGGGCATGAACAAGGGAGGGGACAAAGAAGCATTTGCACTGGGTGGAAGAATTTAGGGGAGACCACAACTACTATTAAACACTTATTTTGACGAAAAATTTTTTGTTGAAAAGATTGAATTTACTGGTATTTTTTTTTGCCTAATCCAATTTTTTAAAAATATATTTTCATATTTTATTATTCTCTGACTATCTAGCTTTAATAAAAGGCCAACTATGACGGAATTAAGCCACCATTTCTGGACGCCATTTTTGAACAGTTCCTTCACTTTTTTTTGTGAGAACATTGGCTTTTTTCTAATAAATAGTTACAAGGAACAAAGCGATATGCAATTTATAGAGATATAAATTGGGGCTGCAAGGTAGGTCAGTCTGCCTCACAGACTAAGGTGGTACCTTTCCTTGGTGAAGTTCCAAAGAAGATTTAACATAACCTTTCACTTGAACTACCTGAGAAATAGGGTCGCCATGGTCTTATAGTCTGTGGGCCAGACCCCCTTACCGTGCACCCCCCCCACATCCCTATAAATTGCATATCGTTGTGTTCCTTGTAACAATTTATTTAAAAAAAGCCAATGTTCCCACAAAAAAAAGTGAACGCACTGCCCCAAAATGGCGTCCAAAGATGGCGGATTGACGACTTTGACTTTAGTTAGTTTTTTGGTCACTGAGAATCAGCATTAAGCTTAATTTCCTCATAGTTGGTCTTTTATTAAAGCTGAATAGTTATAGAATAATAAAACATGAAGAAGTATTAAAAAATAATTGGCTAAAGCTATGAAAAACACCAGTAAAATCAATTTTTTTAACAAAAAAATTTTCAAGTTACAAATCAAGCGTCGTTTGTAATTAAACGGCCTACAATAACGCAAAACGTGCTGAAATAAACCATCTGGAGAATATATTTCTCTTTCTGAAACGCTGATTATTTTTTACAAATGTTTGAGTAGTTCCGTAAAAAATGCACTTATGCGGCAGAAAAGCGGTACTGGCGTGGGTGCCTACAGGCCTCTACCACACCATTCAGTGCCCATAAATGTCTTAGTTATAGTGATATAATAACATTTTTGGTACATTATATTGGTTTTATTAACGAACAAATATTAATGCAATAATTTAATAGTAAAAAAAAAATTTAATTTAAAAAAAAAAATTATTATTATTTTTTTTAAATTTTAACCTCCTTTATTCTATACGTAGGTCGTTTAAGAATACCTCAATTGTAAAAATGGTATAATAATAATAATAAAACTTAATTAAAAAATATTTTGCTAAATATCTTGATTTTTTTTTTATTTAACGTTTGCAATTTAACACTGTGTTTTGAATATTTACTGATTCTTAGAAGTAATTAAAATTTTTATATACTTCCCAGGAAATGAGTCATATTCATACCTTTTTTATAAACTAAAATAATATCTACCTAATCTGAACTACTTATAATGAATAATGAAATGAAATGAATATGGAAACGGCGAAAGCTATAAGTTCTTCTATGTAACTGGAACTGATTGTTAGTATTTGGTCTCAAAATGAGGGAAAACGCGAAATTGAACCCAAACATTGGAAAAATACATTAAGCGAACGACAGTGCCAAAATTTCGGAAAAGAAAACAAGGATCAGTATCCATTATATGGCTAAACGAATATATAGTAGACAAATGAACAGAATATTTCAAGATTCTGCTAAAAGGGGGTAAAAATGCTTGATCAGTTTGGATGATATTAAGCAGGTTTATTATGGTGAAGACCATTTCATCAGCAAGAAAGATTTGTTCTAGGCAATTGGCAAGTCAGCTGGTCTGGACGAAGTAACCCGAAATGCTGTGCGTACAAAGGCTACAAATGTATTAGAAAATTATATGAAAGGACTGTAGTTTTGTCCCTTTACAGGAAATGAGATACTAGGAAATGTTATTCGAGATTCCTTACTGTTTATAGTACCAAAGAAAGTCTACTCAAGAATCGTATAAGCTAAAATTAGAAATATTGTCGATTGCCTGAGCGATATGGATTGAGAAACTCAAGTTGCACATTGGAGCATAAGTTGCAAATTGGGACTGTCTTCACTTTAAGGTAGGTTATAGAGAAGTCCACAGAGAAAGAAAAATGGTTCTCTATCTGCTTAGTGCCTCACACTTTGGATTGATCGAATATCTACTAGTCTTTCACAAAAGCTCGTTTTCCTTTCAGATTCATTCAAAAATCTTTTGCAATTGCACTAAAGAGGAGCAGAGCTATTTCCTTTTATCAATAGACCTCTGTATAACCTGCTTCAAAGTGAAGATAGTCCCAATGTACAACTTCAATAGCAATCTAAAATAAAGTGGTTTACACCATTATCAACCTCGTTTACTTCCTCCAGACCTGCTTGCCAATTGCTTAGAGCAAATCTTTCTTGCTGATAAAGTGTTCTTCACCATAATAAACCTGCTTAACATCATCCAAACCCATCAAGCATTTTTACCCTCTTTTAGCAGCATCTTGAAATATTCTGTTCATCTGTCTACTATATATTCGTTTAGCCATATAATGGATACTGATCCTTGTTTTCTTTTCCGAAATTTTGGCACTGTCGTTCGCTTAATGTATTTTTCCAATGTTTGGGTTCAATTTCGCGTTTTCCCTCATTTTGAGACCAAATACTAACAATCAGTTCCAGTTACCTAGAAGAACTTATAGCTTCGCCCTTTCCATATTTCTTTTGTGCAGAGGGAATAATGCACTTTAATATTAAAAGTTCCTATTTTTTATGATATGGTCCAACTTCCGAATAAAATAAAGGAAATAAAAATGTTTTTTTTAATAGCGATATAACAATTTTACTAAACAATCCATCACCTATTCATTAAAAGCAGTTCAGATTAGGTATATATTATTTTAGTTTATAAAACAGATATTAATATGACTCATTTCCGTGGAAGTATATACTATTTAAATTGCCTCTAAGAATCAGTAAATGTATAAAACAAAATGTTAAATTGCAAATATTAAATAAAAAAATCAAGATATTCTGCAAAGTATTTTTGAATTAAGTTTTATTATTATAATTTTATAATTTTTATAATAGAGGCCTTCTTAAGCGACCTCCGTATAGAATAAATGAACTTAAATTAAAAAAAAAAAAATAATGAAAAACAAAAACAAAAATAATAAATTTTAAAAAAAAATAATTTTTTATAATTAAATTATTGCATTAATATTTGTTCGTTAATATAATCAATATAATATAACAAAAACGTTATTATCGCATTATAACTAAGCCATTTATGAGTACTGAGTGGTGTGGTAGAGGCCTGTAGGCACCCACGCCAGTAGCGCTTTTCTGCCGCTTAAGTACATTTTATACGGAACTATTTCAAATATTTTAAAAAGTAATTAGTGTGTTAGAAAGACAATTGTATTCTCCAGATGTTTTATTTCAGCACGTTTTGCATTATTGTTGACCGTTTAATTACAAACGAAGCTTGATTTTAAACTTGAAAATTTTTTTGTAAAAAAAATTGACTTTACCGATTTTTTTTAATGCCTAAGCCAATTAGTTTTTAATATTTTTTCATGTTTTATTATTCTCTGACTATCCAGCTTTAATAAAAGACCAACTATAATGAAATTAAGCCAAATGCTGATTCTCAGTAACAAAAAAACTAACTAAAGTCAAAGTCGTCAATCCGCCATGTTTGGACGCCATTTTGGGGCAGTTCGTTCACTTTTTTTTGTGGGAACATTGGCTTTTTTTTAATAAATTGTCACAAGGAACACAACGATATGCAATTTATAGGGATGTGGGGGGGGTGCACGGTAAGGGGGTCTGGCCCACCGTGTATAATACATAGATTCAGTCGGAGGCATGAACAAGGGAGGGACAAAGAAGCAGTTGCCCTGGGTGACAGAATTTAGGGACGACAACTATTATTAAACACTTATTTTCGACGACAAATTTTTTTGTTGAAAAGATTGAATTTACTGGTGTTTTTTTTGCCTA